AAATTAGTAATCTGGACATTTATCCATAGCGTATTTATTCTGTTTTGAGTCAGCCGCTTAAATATTGATCTTTTACTTAACGTTTTCTTGAGGGTGGTAAAGTTTTGGGGTAATTGTTTTCCTGAGAAAAATTTTATGAAACAATTCATGCTTATGGTAGAAATCTGGAAAATCAGAAAAGGGGCGATTAATATCACCCATTATCATACCTTTGCTTCATGCTTTTACCTCTTAGCATTATATAATGAAAATTCCTAGATACTAGATATTCTTCAATAACAAGGTTTATTTTTATTTTCTTAAGACAGAGTCTTACAGTGTCACCCTCTGTACAGTGCTGTAGCATCACAGCTCACAGCAACCCCGAACTCTTGGGCTCAGGTGATTCTCTTGCCTCTGCCTCCCAAGCAGCTGGGACTATAGGCGCCCGCCACAATGCCCAGCTATTTTTTGGTTGCAGTTGTCATTGTTGTTTAGCTGGCCCAGGCCAGGTTTGAACCTGCCAGCCTCAGTGCATGTGGCCAGCACCCAACCACTGTGCTACGGGAGCTGAGCCAATAACAAGGTTTTTATTAAACAACACTTCATTGAATAATTTGCCCAACCATTACCTTATTGTTGAAAATTTAGATTGTTTCCAACCTAGCTTTATTAAATACTGTGATCTCTGTTCCTAATAATAATGGTCATAGCATTTATAGAGGACTTACTACAGTACTACATATATACCAAGCATTGTGTACATCAGTTATCTCTTTTTTTTTTTTTTGAGACCGTGTCCCACTATGTTGCCCTTGGTAGAGTGCCATAGCATCATAGCTCACAGCAACCTCAAACTCTTGGGCTTAAGTGATCCTCTTGTCTCAGCCTCCTGAGTAGCTGGGACTACCGGAGCCTGCCACTATGCTAGGGTCTTTTTAGAGACCAGTGTCCTCTTGCTGAGACTGGTCTCAAACTCCTGAGCGCAAGCAATCTGTCCGTCTGGGCCTCTCAGAGTGCTAGGATTATAGGCCTGAGCCGCCATGCCTGGCCCTATACATCAATTATCTTATTTAGTCTCATAATAATCTTATGAATTAAGAATCATTGTACTTCTTTTACAGATGATGGAACCAAGGATTAGAGGTTAAGGTGCCCAGTGCAAGGAAAAAGAATTTAACCTCTGATTTGTCTGACATAAGTAAATGCTCCAGTTTGTCTGTGTGTGACTGTGTAAAAGGGTCTCTTCAAAGATTCCAGTTGTCTAGTGAAATATGCAATGATTAGCTCCAAATGAAGAAAACTGAGGTTTTTCCTCAATTCCCTTCTTTCTTCCATATATATTTTTTCCCAAAGGAAAATGTCTAATGAATATTTAGTTATTTTGGGCTGTTTCCTCTTAACATTAGTTTAATGTAACATGTTGTACATGTGTAAGACCTTATTTTGCAGTCTGTAGAAAATAGTAGGAACACAGGCTCCAGAAATGAGCTTTTCATTTTCATTAGCAGACAGTAAAACCACTGTAAGTAAGAGAAATAAAAAACAAGAGGCAGTGAAAATTCTTAATTTTACAATACTTAGATATGTGCAACATTCATAGATTTTCAAGTACCTGAAAAAATGCAACTGAGTTAAACTAGCCAGCTAGCTGGCTGAGGCCCTGATCCACCTCCACTTCAGTGACTAGATGAGGATTTGCCAATAGCACGTTTGATAGTATATAAAACGAGGACTTGCTTCTGAAGTGCTTAATGATGGCTGAAACGAACCATTTCTTGCACAGTTCACAATGTATGCTTTGGGAAAAGCTCCAAGCCAGGCCTCAACTTCCACAAAGTCCCAGTTAGAGAATTCAAAATTAAATGTAGCCTTATAACGTTTAACGACTCTAAAAAATGTACTGAAATATATTCTGCTAAATCTTACCAAAACCTGAGGGATTTAACCTTCATTTGTGAACATCCAGGAGCTAAAATCTATTGTCGGCAGCCACCCAGTGGGTCGAGGAATAAGGCAAAAGACAGAAGAAGGAAGAACTGAAATTCTAGTTACAGCAAGTTTTACACAAGTAAACCCGCTAATTAAAGGAGTGAGAGGTTGAGAGAATAAAGGAAAGGGCCAAAGAGGTGACTTCCTTTGAGCCTACCCCGAATGTCTACGGAGCGTCAACTTTTGCTTTTCTAGACCCGCGTGGTCACCCAGAGCCCCGAGGCGGGGCCGCTCCAGGCCTCCGGCCGCCCCCCGGCCGGCATCGCGACTCGTCTCTGCCCCGCCGGGGGTCGCGCCGCCGTCCTCTGCAGCGAGGGCGCCCTGCAGCCCGCGGCGCAGCGCGGAGTCCCGGTGGCCTCGGCGCCCTCGCCTTCCGCCAGCAGCAGCAGCAGCAGCAGCAGGAGCAGG